CAGGCACCCACTAATAGCTCTTTAAAAAGCAATTCCGGGGCGCCTGGCTGGCTCAGTTGTAGAGCATGCGACTCTTGAACTCGGGGTGGTGAGTTCGAGCCCCACATTGGGCATAGAGATTACTTAAAAGAAAAACAGTTCAAATACCAGCCCTTTCCTGACTTTCCAAACTTGAGTGGAAAATCAGTGAAAACGGGAAGAAATTATGTGGCTGGACATTGGATGCCTCAAGAGCTGAGAGGTGCTGCATCAGATTTACCCATGAGGAAATGCGCACTGACCACGCTGAGGAAAAGGATTAGAATAACTTCCTTCTACTTCGCAGTTCTGCTGTTGATGAAACCACGATCTCCCTGGGCCTCAATTTTCCTCTCACACCTTATAATCTGGCTCTCTCCACATCTCTGCAGATACCCATGTGCGCCCAGGAACACACGCAATTCTGCCTCAATCCCCACAGGTATTCCAGAGCCACCAAGGAGAGGGGACTGCCCATCCCTCTCCCCGCGTACTTTCCCAGCCCCGCTCAGGGAACTCAGTGCGAAAGGCCCAAGTCGTGCATCACGACTTGAGCCGCTGTACCCCAAAACTCCTCACAGGACTCCAGGGACACGGACACAGCGCACCCCACCCCTGACGCAAACCAGGAACCGCTATACCCCAGGACAGGACCCGTAAAGCTCTACGAGAGGCTTTGTCCCGGCAGGCCTTTAAGGTTTCCGGACCCTGGCCCCCTGGGTTACTTTGTTTCTGACTTCTCCGCGCCAGAATCACTTGAGGGAGAGGCGAAGACCTCGCCCTCCTCTCAGCTCATTTGACGCCTCAGGCGCCCCTTCCCTCCCAGACTCACCTCTTGCTGAGGGGCCGGACCCTCACGGCCACCCGCACATTCGCCATCCCTCGGCCACAACCCAAGCAGCAGGTCCGCCCAGTGGCAGCACCCCCGGCCCCAACCCCAACCCGGCCCCGCCCGCCCCACGCGCCTCACGGGACGACCCCGCCCATGAGCGCGCTGTGGGCCGGCGTGGGTGGTGCCTGCGGTGCCTCAGCCAATCATGAGCCCGATGGGCGGGAGGTCGCGCGTCCCGGCCCCGCCTGCCGGGCCCGGCTCGCTCCGCCCCGCGTCGCCCCGCCCACACACCTTCCGGCACGGCCCCGCCCATGCGCGCCTCTGTTCCACGGGGGCGGTGCCTGAGGTGCCTCAGCCAATCGTGAACCGTGAGGCCGAGAGGGCGCCAATCCCCTCCTGGTATGGCCAGGTCCCGCCTACCAGGAACCAGCTTTTGTTCTCCGACAGGGCTACGCGGAGTCAAGTAAATAAGTTCAAGTTTCGGTTAAAGCGAAGTTTACAACGGAATTTGCTAAATACGTGCATTCGCTGCGTTGGCCTGAGTTGTCAATTCCCTGTGCTTAAATTTTAGGGGCAGAAATGAAATGGGGAGCGCCGATGTTTTTGCAATTACCAGAAAAGAGCAGTGTCTCTTTGAAGAGGCGCTTGGAGTGTGGAGAATTTTAGAGTGCTCCAAGCTTCTCTCGATTGCGATGGAACTTCAGGGCCACTTTAGCAGTGTTCGTGACTGTGGAGAGAATGCTGTCAGACAGAAATGGTTCATTAGTTCTTCCAAGAAATAATCTTGAGTTATCTACCAAGAGTCAAGTGCTGTTTTAAGGTTCTTGAGGACACAGTCCAAGTCTTCGTGGAAATTAGAATCTACCAGGAAGGGAAAAGAGACAATAAATATATAATATGTCAGGATGCCTGGGTGACTCAGTCGGTTGGGCAGATGTTAAATAAATAAATAAAAATTTTTTTAAATAATGAATTATCAGAGAAATTAAGAAAGCAATCCCATTTACAATTACATCAAAAAGAATAAAATGCCTAGGAATATATTTAACCAAGGAGATGAAAGACTTGAAATTGAAAACTACAAGACATTAATAAAAGAGATTGACAAAGACACAAATAAGTGGAAAGATATTGTGTTCATGGATTGAAGAATTAATAGTCAAATGTTCATACTGCCCAAAGCAATCTACAGATTCAATGCCATCCCTATCAAAATTCCAATGGTATTTTTCACAGATAAAGAAGAAACAATTCTAAAATGTATATGGAACCACAAAAGGCACTGAATAGCCAAAGCAATCTTGAGAAAGAACAAAGCTGGGGGAATCACACTCCCTAATTTCAAACTGTATTACAAAGTTGTAGTAATCCAAACTGTATGGTATTGGCATAAAAAGACACATGAGTATAAAGAGCCCAGACATAAACCCATGCATATGTAGTCTATTACTACATGGAACCAAGAATATATAATGAGGAAAGGATAGTATCTTCAATAAATGGTGTTGGGAAAACTGGACAGCCACATCCAAAAGAATGAGACTGAATAAAAAGAATGAAATTTCAGGGAATCCAGAAAGGCCTCTTTAGCTAAGTTCTATATCCAATTCTTGCTTGTTTAATTGAGTGTCTGAAGGAATAAAAAGAATAGCCTGGAAAGGGAACTGGGAGTTACCAAAGTCATCTACTCTACTTTGGTTAAAACTAATAACAACAAGGACTTTCAGTTATTATGTACTAGGAACGGTTTTTCATGTATTATCTTATTTAATCTTCCCAAGAATCCATGAAGTAGGCACTGTTATCTCCATTTAGAGAAAAGGAAATTGAGACTCATATTTAAGAAGTTAGAAAGAACATATAGTCATAGATAAAGGAGCAAAATAAGAAAAACGCTAGAAAAACTAGGTAGCATCTCAATTCCTCCAGAATATTCTTCACAGTGACTTTTTTTTTTTTTTTTGAGAGGAGGTGAGGGGAAGGGCAGAGGGAGTGGGAGAGAATCTTAAGTGGTCTCCATGGCCAGTGCAGAGCCTGATGTGGGGCTCAATCTCACAACCCTGAGGTCATGACCTAAGCCAAAATTGAGTCAGACACTTAACTGACTGAGCCACCCAGGAGCCCCAGAGTGGCATCATTATTATACTGGAAATGAATTTACACATCTCACATACCTCAGTGTTGGTTCACAAGATCCTCAGGAGTTTTCCAGGCGCAACTTAAAATTGGCCCCTGTATTTACTGGGCAGGATGAGACTGAAGAAAGAGGCTGGCTCCTCCAGGTTGGTAGGTGGCAGATTTAATAAGCAAGGGAACTTTATGAGGGTTGTCTTGGGAAGCTACAAGATGAGTAGATCCCCAAATCCATCTAGCAAATCTTAGAAGTTTATATGTGGAGGCCTTAACTGGGTTCTGTCATGTATACCATCCAGATGGTCTTAGCACATCGCTCTATCAAGGCTATGTCCTTGGGGCAGCTTTGGGGAGTGGGGAAAGCAAGTAGAACCCACATTCCAAGGATAGGGGAGAGGGTGAGGAGCTTCTAACTGCTGGGGTCCAGCTCACAGATCTACTGGTGGTCACATCTTCTTGATGACCTTCCCCCACCTAGACATTCCAGAGCTTTAGTATCCACATCTAAAAGCTCAGTAGTAATAAAAATTGATCAGCACTTATTGACGCTACTGTAGTACTAAATTAGCTTTTCTCTTTGAAGTAGACCTGTCTTTTTTAAAGATTTGAGAGAGAGGGGTTGGGGGAAGGGCAGAGAGAGGGAGAGAAGCAGACTCCCCTCTGAGCGTGGAGCCCGACGCAGGGCTCAATCCAATGAACCTGAGATCATGACCCAAGATGAAATCAGGAGGCAGACGCTTAAACAACTGAGCCACCCTGGCACCCCTATGTAGACCTGTCTTAACTTACCTCAAGCTTTTGAGTCAGACAGCCTAAAGGCCTGTGTGGCTATACTTTAACAGCAGACACTATATAATCTATCACATAGGATTCAGACAAGGGCCAGAAAATTTTAGTTACAAATTACAGGTTTTTTTATTTTGAAAAAGACTACTAGACAAAAAACCAGGAATATCAATTTTTGCGACATGATATATATATAAATATATATACACACAAATATAGGAAATCACATGAAGAAAAAACATACTACGATGTTTGAAACCAAGGTTGGGTTTGAAGAAATTTCTGAACTACAACTAAAACTTTGTTTAAATGACTAGACAATATTAGGTAATGTTCAAGATATTATGGCCAGTCTTCTATATCCAATTTATAAAAGTCAGCAAAGGAGACTTCAAAACATGATCCCTGGTTGTTCTGGCAGTTTTTTGGCAATGATCTTGCTTCCTTATGAACAACTACTTTACTCACTGTGTTGAGGTCTTCTCATGTTAAGAAGTGTGATGAATAAAAGGATCAGTGAACCCTGATGACAGAGAATGCAACGCATAAAAATACTGATGCTTCCATTTTTTTTTTTTAAAGCAAAAGAATACACTAAGTCTGAAAATAACCAGAGGTAGTTACAGTACTGATACAAATGAATACATACTGAGGCTTAGTATTAGGAACTGTTATTATACCACTTTTTAAAAAAGATTTATGGGGCACCTGGGTGGCTCAGTCATTAAGCATCTGCCTGGGGGGCTCCCTGCTCTGCGGGAAACCTGCTTCTCCCTCTCCCACTCCCCCTGCTTGTGTTCCCTCTCTCACTGTCTCTCTCTGTCAAATAAATAAATAAATAATCTTAAAAAAAAAAAAAGATTTATTTGAGAAAGGGTGTGCGAGAGAGCACAGAGGGGAGGGGCAGAAGGAGAGGGAGCATGGAGCCTGATGCACGGCTTGATCCCAGGACCCTGAGATCATAACCGACTGACCCTCCCAGGTGCCCCAATGTACTGCTCTTTTATATATACAATAATCTCAGGTAAAATATCTGAGCATTTTGTAAGGTAAATGTCTAAAAGTTTTACTATAACGTGCCTTTTTCTGTTCTTTGTTCTACCTTTCTTCTTTGCCTATCCTTAAGGCTGCCAGTGAACACCCTCAGGAATTTCTTCACATGTCAGGGTTTTGAAGACCACCCCACCCCCACCCTGAGGTTTGATGTTTTAAGGATTCACAGGATTCAGTGTATCACTGTATCCATGACTATGATTTATTACAACAGAAGCATACCAAGTAAAACAGCAAAGGGAAAACGTGCAAGGGACAAAGTCCAGGGGAATCCAAGCACAAGCTTCCAGAGTCCTCTGCTAGTGAAGTCACACAGGATATGCTTAATTCTCACAGCAACTAAGGTGTAACGTGTGAAATGTCTTTCATGAAAGTCATTAGAAATGCAGTGCCCAGGGTTATTATCATGGGTTAGCCACACAGGTATCTTCTGTTTAACATGTACCAAAATTCTAGACTCCCAGAAGGAAAGGTGTTCCGCACAAACCACATTATACAAACACTTCAGGCATAGTGAGCAACTCATCGGTGATAGTGGAAGGAACCCTGTTGAAATCTAAATTCCTAGAAGCCAGGCAAGGACCAACTTTGTAAGCAAGCCTTTCAAAGGATAGTAGTCAGGCCTGTTATGTTTGCTCTTTTCTATACACTTAGTAACTATCCCACAGGAAAAATCGACATACTTTCACTTGCAATAAGACTCTTCTAATTCAGAAACAAGCATTTAAAAAGAAGACATAATAGAGTCTGCTGTCTGAGATATGGCTAACGTACTCATGTTAATAAACTGTCATAGCTGTATTTGATTTTCAAGAGTTTTACTTAAAAGTAGAATGAAAATATATGAAAAACAAAGGAAAACTCAATTTGGTCTTAGTGAACTTGGAATCTTAGTACTTCAATAGCAGCAGAGCCTATAAATGCCCATATTACAACTGGCTAGAAATAGACTTCACATGACTACATATAATTAGGCAAAAATAAACAGTTGACAATCACTTGACATTAACAGTTTGGACATGAACTTTAGAAGTAAAAAGTAAAGAAGGCATTGTAACATCATGTTTATGAAGATAATTTTCTTCTGCTAGTATTTTGGGGATAGAAGAGGAAACTTCCTTTTGTTGTTCTCGCCATTTGAGTATATTCTCTGCCAGTTCTTCTGTTTCAGTCACCAACATATCCATTTTTGCTAATGCCATGCTCTGTAGTGTTTGAAAGAAGGGGAAAATAGGAGAAATTACATGTCATCAATACATCATTATTATATCATAAATGGTTATGATAGCAAAATGGTTATACCAAAAGTTCACACCTGACCTTTTCTAGCCCCTTAACACAAAGGCTTCTTAAAATTGTGTTCTCCCCACTTATTACAGAACATGCTTTTTATTTATGAGTTCACCTCTCCTTTGTCTTCAATCATCATCTCAAAGATGACCCATAATCTATATTGTAAAACCTACCTCCTTCCTAAAATTTTCCCACATTTGTCTACTGAATATCTCCACCTGAATGTACATTCAGTATCTCAAACTTTAATTTATTTTATTTATGATTTAATTGCAATTCAGCAATGATCAAAGATTTACTCTCTGTGGAAGGCATGTCAGAAAACAGTCATTAGCTTTTTGATTTCTTGATCCTCCTCACCCTCAGGTCACCAAAGCTAGTTACTTCATTACTTTGTCCAAAGAGCAGACACATTCTAGAAATTTGACATCACAAATCTCAAAGTTTACATAATCTTTTGTTTTCCTATGCTTTAAATCTTTTATCTGACTTTGGTTCATTTGCCTAGTCCTCTAACCTACAGTCTATCAAACTTTAATGGGTGTAGGAATCACCTGAGGCCAAAATGGAGTACCACTCTTCCCCAAAACAGCCAATGCTAATTTTCATGTCTTTCCTCACATTGCTGCTTTGGGCTAAACTATTCTTTCTGATGCAAATTTCACTGATTTTTCAAGATTCAGCTCACTACTAACTACCACATAAAACTTTACTGAAATATTCTTACCCGCATTCTACTCCCAATTTCCCTAAAGTAGAAGCAAACCCTCCCTTTTCTTTGCTTAATAGATAGCATCTTCTTTATAATTCTCTGCTGTATCCATTGCACAAAAATAATATTATAAAATAGAGAGTATCTGAGAGCTCACTAAATCTTGAGAATTTGAGGGCAGGGAGTGGTCATATCTGTTTTTCTCTCCTGATACCTATAGCATAACTCCTTGAACAATAAAGAGAACACATATTTATTAAATATTGGAATAAAACAATATAAAATGACTTCTAGAAAAGCTATAAAAAAGCCATCTTAATTTTATTTATTTTTTATTTTTTTAAAGATTTTATTTATTTATTTGACAGGGAGAGACACAGCGAGAGAAGGAACACAAGCAGGGGGAGTGGGAGAAGGAGAAGCAGGCTTCCCGCGGAGCAGGGAGCCCAATGCCGGGCTCGATCCCAGGACTCTGGGATCATGACCTGAGCCGAAGGCACACGCTTAACGACTGAGCCACCCAGGCGCACAGCCATCTTAATTTTTAAAAATAATTTATTTAGAGTATTTGCCATCAAAAAGTTAAACAGGGCGCCTGGGTGGCTCGGTTGGTTAAGCGACTGCCTTCGGCTCAGGTCATGATCCTGGAGTTCCGAGATCGAGTCCCACATTGGGCTTCCTGCTCGGCAGGGAGTCTGCTTCTCCCTCTGACCCTCTTCCCTCTCGTGCTCTCTGTCTCTCATTCTCTCTCTCTCAAATAAATAAATAAAATCATTAAAAAATAAATAAATAAAATCTTTAAAAAAAAAAAAGTTAAACAAAGGGGCACCTGGGCGGCTCAGTTGGTTAAGCATCCAACTCTTGATTTTGGCTCAGGTCATGATCTCAGGGTTGTAAGATCAAACCCTGCCATCATGCTCTGCACTGGGTGTGAAGCCTGCTTAAGATTCTCCCTCTCTTAAAAAAAAAAAAAAAGTTAAAGAGATCACACATTTGAGATTCTAGTATAAAAGAACTAAAGACAGCCAAATGTAAAGGAGTTGAGATACTTAAATGCTACTGTTAATACTCACCATTTTCTTTAGATTTTCATCTAAATGAGGGATATTTTTAATTGTTTCAAGATGGTTTTCTAATCTTTCAATGAAAGTTACTGCCAATTCCAGCAAATGTACCATGTAGCTACAAGAGGGAGAAAAAAGTCAACTATTTTTTTTTAGTTACTTTGTGTTCTTTTTTTTCTTTTCAATTAGGACTTTTAATACAAGATAAGAGAATTACAATCAACCCAGTGAGCCAATAATAACCCTTCTGCATTCATGGAAATACCAGTGATAAAAATGTCATTTTCTTTCACTCTAAGCAGAAATTAATTCAACATCCAAACAGAAAAAGAGAGACAACACTAATCATATCTGGTATCCAACCTAATATTAGCAAAACTTAATTTAAACCTAATTAATAATTAATAGTAATTTTCTCATATAAGTAATTTCCCTAGATTAAATCTCATTCCATTTCAATCTACTCATTCTCCATGAAGGGTGAAGATAATAAGAAGAATGTACTTGACTGAAACTGCCTACACCTAAAACCACTTTGAATCTTCGCATTTGCAAAATGCTTTAAAATCATTACGCAGTTCTTCTGATATATATAATGTATAACATATACATTAATGGTATCTTACTATACTGAATAGGTAACTGAATATATCCACAAGAAGGAATTTTTACATTTATTCTTTTACTACAAGATAACAAATCTGACACTTAAGAGAGGTACTGATTTGCTAAGGGTCAGCAAGTGAGGCACTGGTGGAGAAAGTTAGCAATCAGATCCCCAGATGTTTGATTCTTTACTATTGTTTATTATTATACTTGGAATACTCGTATGGGGAAAAGAGCAACAGAAAGCATGCCCATTCTATGGACTGGGAAACTGAGGCTAAAACCAATCATTTGCCCTAGGTTTTGAGGCATACAAACAACAGAAATGAGAGCACAACTCATTTGGTTTTTTTTCCTTTAGCTGACATGGTTTTCATCTCTCCCTGCTTACACTCCCTAAGAGAATTTTTACATATAGGCAACATTAACACAACAATAAGTTAACTTCATAGAAAATGGTCTATACATAATAAAAATAATTTTTACCCATCTTACTATATGTTATTGATCTAATTTCTTTCATTGAAGCCATTACATCATTCCCAAAACACACTGGGCAAAAGGAATGTCTTTTTCTTCACCACAGCTTCACTCTTTAAATGCATAAGATTTTCTTTCTGGTTGTATGTATCAGCATTAAAAATGTTAACAGTAACTAATATATTGTTTAATGAATTGCACTATGAAATAACTACTAGTCTAAACAAAAAATACCCGCAGGAAATATGTGGAACCATTAGTTTCTACTGTTTAGTTTAACCTGTGATAAACAGCTTCAATAGGCAAGTTTTCCTGGCACATGGGTTTCAACAGTCTTTGCCTGAGGGACCTCTTCTCTTTTAGCACTGCTTCCAAATGATTATTCATGCTTTGCAGAGTATGACATTTCTGAGCTATACAAACCAAAAACAGTAATCATAGTTAGCAATATGACAAGTTTCAAAATCACTAATAATTTATTTTTTGCTTTGGTATGACACTACCAGTGTCAAAAATTAATCCATTTCCCTCCTAAATATCTCCCCTTTGCTATCTTTAATATCAAAACCACTTTGCTTTCAATGATTTTCTCTTACTTTGCTTGCTGACACCAAATCCAGTGCTAAATTCTTTGTCTACATTATTCAACTCTACTCCTAGCTCAGTTTTTATATTATTTTTTAAAAGATTTTATTTATTTATTTGACAGAGAGAGACAAGTGAGGGAGGGAAGACAAGTGGGAGGAAAAGCAAGCTTCCCGCTGAGCAGGGAGCCCAATGCAGGGCTCGATCCTAGGACTAGGATCATGACCTGAGCCGAAGGTAGATGCTTAATGACTGAGCCACCCAGGCACCCCCTAATTCAGTTTTTATAGCCAGAGTCGTATTCTTCACATAAAATCTCTTTTCTCATCTCTGCCTCTAACATTCTACATGAAATTAAAAAATAAACATGTCTTACAAGCTATTTCTGATTATTTCAGTATTTTGCCCAGAATTCAGTTAATGGCTGCCAACTGACTCTTTTAAATTTTTATCTTGAAAAATTTCAAACTTACAGAAAAGTTTCATTGAACTCCCACATACATTTCACCTAGACTCACCAACTGTTAACATTTAGCTACATTTTTATTTCTTTCTCCACATACTCAATACATGTATTTTTGCTGACCCATTTAAGAGTAAGTTGTAGATACCATGAACTTCTACCCCTAAAACTTCAGCCTGTATTTCCCCAAATAGGAACATTCTCTTATGTAACCGTAAGTATCAAATTCAGAAAATTTAACAATGGTACAATACTACCAGTATTTAATACAATCCATATTGACATATGACCAAGTAACTCAATAACATCCCTTATAGTAAAATAAATCCGTAATCAAGTATTCAATCCATGACCACTGTGCTTTGACTGTTGAGTTCCTCTAGTCTCCTTTAATCTGGAAAGTTCCTTAGCCTTTCTTTGTCTTCAAGCTTTCCTGAATTGGAGGAGCTCCTACCTGGGTCACTTTTTATGCTATTTGCACTAGTCAAACCAAAAGGACTTCTATTTGAGCACAGAAGACTTTATTAGCTTTGGGGCAATACCTGAAAAAATTATGGTGTATCATAATGTATGATTAAGGTAATCCAAGAAAAAGTTGAAATTCCAATGATTACCCATTTCATCAAATTACTTACCCAAAAAGGAAGGATGAACAACATCTGCTGCATCTTTTTCTAGTCTTAAAAGTTCAATTTCCAGGTTTTTCTAAATTAAGAAGAAAAATAACATTCAGCTCGCGTAGAATGCTGCCTGAAGGCTTAAACTTAAGTAAAAAAAGGCATAGTCTTTAACCCATGAATATTGAGGCCGGGAGAGAGGAGGATTCGTTATGAGAGCCCAGGGGATTTACCAAAGATTTTCATTTTCGTGTTCAAGCCCTACTGCTGCTATTGCTACTACTACTAACTACTACTATAACTATTACTACAAATAAGTAAAAACTTATCCAGCTACATGCTAGACAATGTTCTAAGTGCAAGAGAACTGCTGCTGGAATCAACTTATTTTCCTGTACTAGAACTAGGAAGTAAAAAGTCCAACATAATTTACCTGGTAGATTTCAGCTTGAATATTTGTGATCTGCTGTAGTCTGGAGAAGTTCGCAAAGTAAGAAGCTGATTTCTTGGATATACTTAACATCTCCTATTGGTAAATGAACAGAGAAAGCAGCAGTGTGTCACAAAAAGTTTGTGTGCATTGGAATAGCATATCTATGGGCTTAAAACATGAGGATTTATTATGTCCAACACTGCCCTTGAAAAATGAAGTAGAGTTTAACAGTAGCAATGTATGTTTCCTGTTTTTATGTTTTTGGTTTTTTTTTTTTTAAAGATTTTATTTATTTGACAGAGAGAGACACAGTGAGAGAGGGAACACAAGCAGGGGGAGTGGGAGAGGGAGAAGCAGGCCTCCCACCGAGTGGGAAGCCCAGCGTGGGGCTCGATCCCAGGACCCTAAGACCATGACCTGAGCCGAAGGCAGATGCCTAATGACTGAGCCACCCAGGCGCCCCATATTTCCTGTTTTTAAAATATTCACTATCTGGGTACCTGAGTACTCAGTGGGTTAAGCATCAGACTCTTGGTTTTGCCTCAGGTAGTGATCTTGGGGTCCTGAGATAAGAGCCTGGCATTATCCTGTATGCTCATCGTGGAGTCGGCCTGGGATTCTTTCCCTCTTCCTATCCCTCCCCCTCTGCCCCTCAGCCTGCACGTGCTCTCTCATTCTCAAATAAATATTCTTTTTTTTTAAAGATTTTATTTATTTATTTGAGAAAGAGAGAGACAGAGTGCAGGGAGCCCAATAGGGGGCTCAATCCCAGGATACTAGGATCATGACCCCAGCTGAAAGCAGACACTTAACTGACTGAGCCATCCAGGCGCCCCTAAATAAATCTTTAAAAAAAAAAAAAAAGCACTAAATATTCACTATCACAAATCCTTTGGCCAAATATTTTAAAAAATGAGAAAAAGAAACATGACTTAATCACTTTGTCCTATTTCCTAAAGTACTCTGCACAATACCTCTGAATTAGGGACAGCTCTCAGAGAAGGCTAAGGTTAAGAAGGATGAGCTTGAGGTTGTTGGAGAATTACTCCTACACAAATCAACAAAACCTAGTTTCTGACCTTCCTGGGGCTAAAATTAAATACTTTCCCACCATGGAATCATTTATCTGATTCATTAAATGACCTCTATTGGCTATAACTCATTCATACTGTCTCTTTTCACATACTCACTCTCTTAAAGGAATGTTCTGTCCAGGTGGAATTATTCTAAAAAGCTTACCCGCTCCTTTTTATCCTGTAATTCTATGCAAAATATTGCTTGCATATACTGCCTCCTTAAATTGCAGGTTACTTCAGAATAAGAATATTGTTCATCCCCTGGCTTGATCCATAATTTTCTGTATCCTCTTCTTCTTTTCAAGAATATTAGCACATTTAGAGATCTTTAGAGATCTTATAGGCAAAGGGTTGGGAAATGATAGTCCATGATCTAAATGCAGCCCACTGCCTGTTTTTGTACAGCCCATAAGCTAAGAATGGTTTCTATAGTTTTTTAATGCTGGGTAAAAAAGAAAAAGAAACAGTATTTTATGACACAGGAAGACAATATGAAATTCAAATTTCAGGATCCAGAATAAACTCAACTGCTCCCATTCATTTACTTATTATCTCTGCCTTCTTTCATACTACAATAGACTAGATGAAACCATATTGACCTAAAAGCCTCAGATACTTACCCTCTGGTCCTTAATAGCAAAAATTCGCTGACCAAAGATAACCAATTTTATAAGCATTTACTGAGTTAGACAATCGAGATTGAAGGATGGATGAGAAGGAAAAGGTATTCTAGTATTAACATATATGTGAAAAGGAAGGAAAGATGAGATCTGAAAACATAGTTTCCTACATAATCGTGGAAGATCTTGATAGCTGTGACAAGCAATTATAATGCAGGAAATGAGAGTAATTCAAGGTTTCCTGGTGAAGAAGTAACATGATCATATATAATATATATTTTAGAAATGTAAATGGGGATAGTATGGAAAATAAAACTAATGAGGCTGGGGGGACAGTAAGGAATAGGGAGTGACTACTTAATGAGTATGGGTTTTCCCGGGGGTTGATAAAAAAGTTTTGAAAATAGTTTCACAACATTGTGACTGTACTTCATGCCACTGAATCGTACACTTTAAGATGGATAAAATGGTAAATTTTATGAGCATTTTACCACCAAAAAAACTCGCCACTGGGGCGCCTGGGTGGCTCAGTCATTAAGCGTCTGCCTTCAGCTCAAGTCATGATCCTGGAGTCCTGGAACCTAGCCCCGCATCAGATCAAGCCTCCCATTGGGCTCCCTGCTCAACAGGGAGTCTGCTTCTCCCTCTGCCTCTTACCCTGCTCATTCTCTCTCTCTCTCTCTCTCTCTCTCTCTCTCTCTCTCTCTCGGTCTCTCTCTCAAATAAATAAATAAAATCTATTAAAAAAAACAAAAAAACCCATCACTCTGGTAACTAGCCAACAACATAAAACAAACAAACAAAAACAAACAAAAATACTAGGTGAGAGAAAGGACTGGAGGTTGAATATTTAGACAAGTGGCTACTACAGCATTCCAGGTGAGAAGATGAGAATGTGGACTAGGTCAGTAGCAGTTAAAAAAGGAAAAGGAAGGCAGAGATGTGAATCCCTGGAGAGATGAAATGGATAAATCCTGGTTGATATGGGGTATTAGGGATAAAGTCAAGTCAATATTGACTCTGAGGGGACGCCTGAGTGGCTCAGTTGGTTAAGCGTCTGCCTTTGGCTCAGGTCATGATCCCAGGACCCTAGGATCGAGTCCCGCATCGGGCTCCTTGCTCAGTGGGGAGCCTGCTTCTCCCTCTGCCTGCCACTCCCCCTGCTTGTGCTCTCAATATATCAAATAAATAAAATCTTTAAAAAAAAAAACATTGACTCTGAGGAGCCCTAGTGACTGGACAGATAGATACGTCATGCCATGAGGAAGATAACACAAGATACTTTACTGATGGCAAAATTGAGGTTTGGGGGAGCAATGTATTAGTTTAATTTCATTCTATAAATACATATCATGGCTGAAATAAGGATGAATCTAATCTACTGAATTTCCATCATATCTGCATAACTCTTTTACTCTTCTTTTCTGCTCTTAGGTAGAAGGTAAATGAAAAGTAAAACATCTCCCATTTCTCACTGTAACTTACTCATTCTCTGGCATCTCTTCAACCCTCCCTGTGTATATGCTAATCTTAACTATACACATGGAAACTAGTAAACTGTTGGGTTCAACAGCAGGGTAATGGAGCTTAGCCAAGAACATGTAAGAGAAACCAATGGAAAATAACAATGTTCAAGGGAGAGCCAAAAGGAGAGAGGAAAGAAAGAATAGCCAAATTTCTCTAATAAATAGAAATTCTAATTACTTGAGGATTGTGACTTAGCCTTATATCTAAAAAAAAAAAAAAAAAAAAAAGGCTAGGATTGGGGAATACAGAAAAGTTTTTACCGTTGACTACTGCTATTATATATTATATAATTTACATGCCAGGAAAGGGACACTGAAAATGAAAGGATCCTGAAAAGGGAGTCTGTTTAAGGTGTTTCTGTTCATTCTGTTGCTAGGCACAAGAAGCTGAAATCCAAGACTTTTATGTATAATATAAAAATCCTGATAACACTGTGTACAAAATATATATACGTATAAACTTGTGTCTTTGGGCATCCTTTCTTCTTTTTTGTCCTTTCTACTTCATACTGAATTCTAGCCGAGGGACATTAAAAGGGAAACAGTGTAGCAGAGAAATTAAAAGCAGAGGCTTTAAAATGGGGGAGGGGAGGGACGCCTGGATGGCTCAGTCGTTAAGTGTTTGCCTTCCGCTCGGGTCATGGTCCCAGGGATCTGGGATCGAGCCCTGCATCGGGCTCCCTGCTCAGCAGGAAGCCTGCTTCTCCCTCTCCCACTCCCCCTGCTTGTGTTCCCTCTCTCGCTGTGTCTCTCTCTGTCAAATAAATAAAATCTTTAAAAAAATAAAAATAAAAATAAAATAAAATGGGGGAGGGGATATAGAGGTGGGCAGGGCACACTGAGAAAATAAGATTTATATATATAAATGTATAAACATACACATAAATATGTAAACTATATATATGTCTATATATATATCTCTATATAGTGTATGTATATGTATTTGATTGAGCTATCATGACTCACTAAAGCTTGCCAGAAAAATAGGATGTAAGGCCAATAAAGCAGTCCCAGGGCAGGGCACCTGGGTGGCTCAGTCGTTAAGCGTCTGCCTTCAGCTCAGGTCATGATCCCAGGGTCCTGGGATCGAGCCCCACATAGGGCTCCCTGTTCCGCGGGAAGCCTGCTTCTCCCTCTCCTACTCCCCCTGCTTGTGTTCTATCTCTGTCAAATAAATAAATAAAATCTTTAAAAAAAAAAAGCAGTCCTAGGGCACAAACAAATACCCCATTTATCCTACAGAGAGTTACCTATACCTTTCTTTCACTAAATCATTGCTTAATGGATATAGATCAAAACAAAACAAAACTCAAACAAGCTATATTTTCTGGAAGAGTTGCATCATATTACAATTTTAAGCATCACTTGATTTTTTTAATGCAAATGGGATGACGTGCACTTAAGGGATAGACTAAAGAGATCATATAACATTATTTTGAAAGAACCAATGCTAAATCCTTCTAATAAAAATAGATTTTCATATGTAAAGTTTGCTTAAAGTAAAATCATACTACAAATCTGTGAAGTTTCCTCATTGGGACTAGTTGTGTAGTAAAATTGTAAGATGGTCTTAAAGAGCTATGGATTGGCAGATTTTACCTGAGGCAAAATAGATAACTGTCTAATTAGTGCCACTTGGACACTAGGAAGAGCCTCTTCAAAACAACTTCTACCCCAACAAACAGCTGACTTATCAATGTCAAAATTCTCTTAGGTGTTTAATTCTCAAACCAATACACTCTAGAGGGATAAGTCCCAAATGTCTTACAGTATGAGTTTACCAAATTACTTTGTTACAGCACTAAACAATGCAGTGAGACTACCAGGTGATTTGGTAGGAAGAAAACACATGAGATAAGAGAAGGTGAGAACTGGGGGAGTGCTATAGTTAGGTTTTGCCTATTTTCCAATGCATTCATTTGTACCCCCCCGCCAAAATCTTTAAGGTCTGGTTACTAGAACCTCGGCTAATCTACAAGAATTCTTCATCAGGAGTTTAAACTCTTTCAAGATAGTGTCATAGTATCATCTATCACAGTTCATCTTAGAGATGATACAATGTGTCAGAAAAGGGAGCGCTCTGTGATCTATTTCACTGGTTGACTGACTTTGGGTAAATTTCTTGGTCTCCTTAGGCCTTAGTTCCATTAAAAAAAAAGATTTATTTACTTATTTGAGAGAGAGAGAGAGATAGGGAAAGCACGCGCGCAAGTGAGCAGGAGGGGCAGAGAGGGAGAGGAGAATCGTAGACTCCCTGCTGAGCGTGGACCCCCCCCCCAGGTGGGCTCCAGGCCAGGGCCTTGGGCCAAAATCAAGAGTCAAGAGGCGGAGGCTTAATCAACGGAGCCACCCAGGCGCCCCTTTACTTTCTTCATCTTAAAAATAGTGTACAGTAGGGGCGCCTGGGTGGCTCCCTGGGTTAAGCCTCCCACTCTTGATTTCGGCTCAAGTCCTAATCTCAAGGTCCTGGTATAAGAGCCCCACCCCCTGCTCAGCTGAGCAAGGAGAGTCGGCTTGAAATTCTTTCCCTCTGCCCCTCCCCACCCTCTTTCTCTCTTTAATAAATAAATCTGTAAAACAAACAAACAAACAAAAACAGTGTAAGGTACAATTCTCTAATGACTCTTCTAAGTATACAAAGTTATGTATTTACCATAAATCTTCCATCGTGTTCATACAGCTAATCTCCGCGTATGATTTTACCTTTCTACTTCTCCGTTTCTTTTTTAGCGAAAATCCTCAACTTTCTCGTTATCTCAAAATTTCTTTCCCTCCATCTCACTTTCCCCATTCACTTGTCACTTGGATTCCATTATTCCCTCATATCTTTAATTTCTCCTAAAACTACAACCTCTGAGACTAATCTGCCTCTTCTCTGATAATTACTCCCCTCCTGCATTCACGTTCCAAGGTCTTTCGGGTCTTTCTCAACATTTTAAAAAATTTCTTTATTTTTTTAAGTATTATATATGTACTTTATTTTAAAGTTGAATGCTTCCCCTGACGCTCTCCTGTACTCAGCGTCTCCCGCCCCAAATAGGCTTCAATACCTCACACAAACAAGCGTTGTTTGGGAACGTTTGTGTTTTAACACTTACCCGTATTTCCCAACCCCCCACCCATTACAATATACAGGCGGTATCACTGAGTGAGAAAAAGCGGAAGAAGACTGATCTTTATTATCTCTCACGAACTGACCCAGGATAAATCGCCCGCAGACATCTGAAACTCGTCTACTCAGAGCCCCGCTTTGGCACAACCACTGCAGAACCGTCGCTACTTGTTGCCTGGAAGGGCCTCCATCGGCCTCTACTCCAGCACAGCCCCCCACCCAGCACCACCACCTCACAGCCATCTTCTGTCGCCATCGCCGCCCACGCACCTGAGTGACCATCCCCGAAGCTACGAAATGGCCTAGCAACAGCCCGGCAGCACTTGGCGCGGACGCGGGATCCCAACGGTTGGCAGCAGCCATGGCGCGATAAGCGAGTGAAACGTACGGAGAACGTGCGACGCGGATCGATGACGTCACAGGGCGTTTCAGTCCGGGCGGAAGCCCGGGGAGCGCATCCCGGCCGAGCGCGGGCCGAGGATTTTCCCTTGCTTAGCCGGCTGTGAGCTGAGGGGTAGGAGACGAGTCCCGCGCTCCCCGATCATTCGTAGGCTCCAGCGGCGTCAGGCCTCGGAACAGCTGTAAAAGCTGTTGGCCCTGGTGGTCGGGTTGTTCTTCCCTTTCTTCCTTGCCACTTTTAGTTGGTCCCCAAGATTTGGGCGTCGGCAGGTGACAGCTTGGGCATGAGAGCCGAGAGGCGGATGGGGTGGCTGGATGCCTGGACTGAGCGGTGACAGCTGCGCTTCCTTCCTGCAGGGACCTGAGCCGCGGCCCTAGAATGGGAAACAGTGCCCTCCGTGCTCATGTGGAAACCGCGCAGAAAACTGGTGTCTTTCAGCTTAAGGACCGTGGGCTGACCGAGGTGAGCCTGGGAGGGGACCGACCAGAGAAATTAAAGGGGGAGGGACGGCGGGGGTGGTGAAGTTAATCGGTGAGGAATTCTCCGCGCTGTGAACCCCTTTCTCCAGTTCCCCTCAGAGTTGCAGAAGCTGACCAGCAATCTAAGGACCATCGACTTGTCCAACAACAAGATCGAGAGCCTACCGCCTATGATTATAGGAAAGTTCACTCTGCTGAAGAGCCTCTCCTTGAACAACAACAAACTGAGTATGGCTTTTGCGCCTGGGAAGCTTTTGCTAGTGATCAGCTGTTAAAAAGGGTGGTTTTCTCTTACAAGCTGATTTTTGTTGTTGTTATGAAACCGTACTGAGAGCTCAAGACGCAGGAGGATATCAGAGTCCTTGAACCTATCTCTTGTAATTACATCTACACGCCTCCTCTGGTGGTGTAATGATTGGTACTGGCTTAATTTGGACTTGAAAGGGAAGACCATCTTTGGGATGTAATGTAAACAGAGCTAATTTTGCTGCTAATTTAGAAAGGGGGGTGTAATGGGAAGGGGAGGGCCTAACAAATGCCACAAAATTGCTATCGGATTCTGCAGAGGTCCTTTTACAAAAGGAGCCCAATATACACATAAATACTTGCCTGTATTTTGATGGCACCCTCACTTTCTGAAGACTATGTTGGTAAAATGCAATACTTAAAAATGGCACATGTGGGAATTTTATGTGTATCAGTAGGAGGCATATAAGGTGGCCATATAGTTTTTCTAAACTTTGTCTAAGGTATGTCTCAGCTGTATCAGATTCAGGTTTTTAATTTTTTTCTTTGCCAGCTATTCTTCCTGAGGAGTTATGCAATCTGAAAAAACTAGAGATGCTAAGCCTAAACAACAATCACTTGAGAGAACTACCGTCTACCTTTGGGCAACTGGCAGCCCTCAAGACCCTGAGCCTCTCTGGGAACCAGCTACGAGCACTACCACCACAGCTCTGTAGCCTACGGCACTTGGATGTGGTGGATCTCTCCAAGAACCAGATTCGGAGCATACCTGACATAGTGGGGGAGCTGCAGGTCATCGAACTCAATCTCAACCAGAACCAGGTCTAGAGCTTAAGGTTTTTTTCCTACATCATGTGGGTTTACAGTCACCTGTATAATCCATTCTTTTCTAAACTGTAGTCATGGAGCTGGGTATCAGGCTAGATGAGCAGTATAGTCCATGGGCTGGACTACTTTCAAAGCTAAAAGTGCTATGGAATTAGTTGCGTAGGTGTTTTTAGGAGAGTGGGATGGGTAATGGGGTGAGATAATTTCAAAAGTTAAACTGTCTCACAAATCTTGGAGAATTCAGATCCTCCTCAAATATGCCTCAAATCACCTAGCAAGGAGCTATGTCAGGTGGAGTGGAAAAGAGGCTTTAACTCATAGGTTCTTGGAGTTGGACAAGAGATAATTCATTGTCCCTTTTTTGACATCTTTGTCAAGTGTGTCCTGCTTTTACTGAAAATTCATAACTGACAGGCTTTCTGGCCTGTCATTGTTAGACAGCTTTAATTGAAATATTTGAAATTTGTTTCCATTACTTTGGAAGCTCTGGTTAATATGTATCTGACTGGAGAAATAATCCTTGGTCTAGACATAAGGCTTAATGATGAAACATTAAACATAGTGAGACTAGGTGGCCTTTAATTTTTTAGCGCCTACAGTTTTAGATTTGCACAGTCCAATACAACAGCCACATATGGCTGTTAAAATTCATTTAATAAATAAAATCTTAAAAAAAATAAAATAGATTTAAAAATTAAGTTCCTCTGTTGCCACTAGCTATATTTCAAGTGCTCAAAAGCCGGATGTGGCAACCATATTGAACCACAAAGATATAGATTTCAATCACTGCCAAGTTTTATTGTACAAAACTGTTCTAGATTGTAGTAATCTTACATTATGATAAAATTCAGTCTATCTTTGAGGAGACTGCCTCACCTTTTCCATGAGAATGGATATTCTTGTATGTTGAGCTTTGGGGAAAAAAATTGTGAATATTTGAAAAAAACTTATGGGAAAACATTGTTCAAGAAATACTAGCTGCATAGCTGCACACTCACCCCATTCACCTAGGCTGCTGCCCTATAATCACTTGTTCTGATTTTAGCATGGACCACATTAACCAGAAGAGCTTGTGAAGAGATCACTGGGTCCCTACCCTCCGTGTTTGTGATTGAGTAGGTCTGGAGTGGGGTCTGAGATTTTACTTCTTAAAAAATTTTTTTATTAACATATAATGTATTATTTGTTTCAGGGGGAGAATTTACATTTTTTAAGGTTTTTATTGGGATGCCTGGGTCGCTCAGTTTCTTAAGGGTCTGCCTTCCACTCAGGTCATCATCCCAAGGGCCCTGGGATCGAGTCCCCCATTGGGCTCCTTGCTCAGTGGAGCCTGCTTCTCCCTCTGCCTGTCCCTCCCCCTGCTTGTGCACGTGAGTGCTCTCTCTGACAAAATCTTTAAAAAAAATAAAAAGATTTTTTAGAGAGAGCGCATGCACGTGCACACATAAGCAGGGGGTGGAGCAGAGGGAGAGGATCTCAAGAAGACTCCTGGATGAAGGTGGAGTTCAAGGTGGGGCTCCATATCACAACCCTAAGATCATGACCTGAGCCGAAATCAGAAGTCGGACACTGAACTGACTGACCCAGCCAGGCACCCCTGAGAATTTATATTTCTAACAATTTCCCAGGTGATGGTCTGAAATGATACCAGGTAGAGTAAATATAATTTGGTGACTTGGAGCATTTAAAGGGCAAAAGAAGTGAATGAATCAAAGATAATTGTTCAAGGGCCTAAAAGAGTGGTGCTGCTGAGTGGACAAGCTTTGATTATGATGGTGACTCATCCCAACAGAAATGTTTTATTAAAAATTGGAGACATGGGAGTGGAATAGACATGAGCAGATATGAATATAGACACAGATTTTCAGGTCTTAACAGAATTGATTGCTTTAAGAAAGGATGAGCTTTTTAGGAGGACGTTTAGAAAGAAGATCCAATGTTAGAGACTGCTGCTTGAAAATGTCCATAGGAACAAGGGGGCGGGGGGAGCCAAAAATCAGCAATAATTCAAAAGAAGAAAAGTCCAGTATTTAGGTACAGGGAGTTTCAAAAAAGTGGTAGATGATAGTCAAACCAATAGGGAATGAGGACCGTGAATCCTTGACTTCGGCAGTGTAGCGGTCAGCATCTTCTTACACATAAAAGATGGGCAGTGAATGTAAATGCACCAAAATGTTTATGGTGGTAGATTAGAGGTAACTTTTTTCCTTAAACTTATGTGATGCTCAAATTTTCTGCAATGAACAGTGCTTTTATTAGGACATTTTTGTTTCTAAAAAGCCACCAGTAACCTTCAAACAGCATCTTTTTCCAAAAAGTGGAGGAGTAACAGAAGCTAGATAACATAGGCTTTGGAAATGGGTAGGTGGTGAGAAAATGGAGGCGGTAAAAGAAAGAACTAGGACAAATGGGCAAGTTTTTGTTTTAATTTAGTAAAAAAAAAACAAAAAAAACATTATAGTAGTGCTTTTACTTTTTCCTATAATTCTTTTTTGTTCAATAGATATCTCAGATCTCAGTAAAGATATCTTGCTGTCCTCGCCTTAAAGTTCTTCGCCTGGAAGAGAACTGTCTTGAGCTCAGCATGCTGCCACAGAGCATTCTCAGTGATTCCCAGATCTGTCTGCTTGCTGTGGAAGGCAACCTTTTTGAAATAAAGAAACTTCGAGAACTGGAAGGATATGATAAGGTATGTATTAGTGTACTTCATCATTGTTCCAGAGATAATGGTGAAGTAACCCACATGAACATTTATAGCTACAGGATGTATGCATAATCCTGTTTATGTCAACAGGATTTGTTCCCCATTTTGGAGGTGGATTCTAAAAATTAGCAAACGGTATTGTGCCAAGGTAACTTTTCCTCCAGGTAGCTTATTGTAAAGCATTTTGTCTTCTGATGGGTGTCTTATTAAAATATAAGGGAAAAACCCCAAAGCTATGTGCTTTAAATTTGCATTTAGAATAGGTCGATTTTGAAGATGAAAAAGACCATATCCAATAAAAATCTAAATAAAAAAAATCACAAAATCCTAATAAAAAAATAGGCTAATATTTGCTTGGGCCAAAATACCACATATTCTTCTTTTATGATTTTTAGTACATGGAGAGGTTCACAGCCACTAAGAAGAAGTTTGCATGATGTTCTCCAGGAGCACGGGAACCTCACAGGACACTGACATGGAATCTCTTGCAATCTGGCTGAATCAAAGGCTCCTTTTGTTGTCAAGGATTATCTGCAGCAAGGAGATGATACTCCCGCAGATATTTCAATGATCTTTTCCCTTTCCAGGGCTCGTCTTAAGCAAGCTAAAAAATCAAGGGACAGTAAGAGTCCTCCATTTTGAGTCATGGATAAGGGTAAAGGACAGTGTTGACCATCAAAACCATCATTAGTCTGGCTTTAAGAAAAACAATAGCTCATTTGCTATTTATACAATGAAGGGATGCTGCTTGGTCACAGAATCACTCCGTATCACAGCTTGAAATTTCATGTTTAGTTTCAGTGTATGAACTTTCATAAAGTCAGTTGCCATTCCACCTGCATTAACATTTCATATTTTTATGAAATATAGTTTGTGAGAGGCTACTATGGTTAATCTAGGATTTATGATTTTATTTCAGTCCATCAGTTCAATCGCACTGTGTATACTTGGAATTTAGAATGTACATAAATATGTGACTGTCTTGATTAAAAGTGTATTGTGTCAGAGAAGCACCAACACAACACTAAGAGATGTTCCCCAAGGCTGCAGTAGCAAATTTTTTACTATTGCATGTGCCTTACTGGTAGAGGGCTCTGAAGAGCTAAAACCATATATGCAAAACTTGTAAGATACAAAGGGTTGTAATAATCAAGATTTTCCTGAAGCTTTGTTAGAAATAATGTCTTACTTCTGGTAATCCTTTTCCCTTTTTGCGTTTATAATTCTACTAATCAAATTAGCTATCCAAAAACTATTGCTACAATATTTTAAAATAACCTATGTTTATAAAGTTTATTCTCTGGATGAGAGAATATACTAAATAAAGAATTTTTAATGAACTTCCGCTGGAAAAAGTGTTAATCCTTCAAAGGAAGAAGACAGGAGAACTTTAACCTCTGTGTGGCCCTTTGTTTGAAAGTAAACTGATTAGAAAGAAATGTTTCTTAAGGTGCAGGAGTACTGAAATGCCTTCATGTGACTGATAAGCATTTTGCAGTACTAAAACCATGCTTATTAAGAGAAACAAAGTACAAAGCTAGATGACGTCAGGTTGTTACTGACATGAACCTTTCGGAGACTACCACTCTCAAATGTTCTGAGGTTTTGCCTTTGGCAGGGCAATTTAGCTTGTATTGTCAGTTCTTGTTTTATTAACCTAGTTTAACCATTAAGTCAGTAGATCACAACAGCTTAGTGTTAGAGAAAGTCTCTCTGACTTTAAATCTGATCCATATTCTAAATCTGATCCGTATTCTCTATTTCCCATGTTATTTTCTGTTTCTCAACATGGGGAGGGATGGATGGGCTGCCAGTTTATCGTTAGCAACTGAGTTTTGCTTTTTGTAAACTTCAATGCTTAATCTTTTTGGTCTAAACAATGTTTCTCTAGATTCTTTATCAGTGCTTAACATCTAATAAATCAGAGCTTCTAAAGTAAACAACTTAAATGTCCCCAGACATTTAATTAACTGGAGTTAAAAATATCCCCCATCTCTGAGAATCAGTGACTGCTAGCTTTCACAACTTGTACCTAGCCTTATTTCCAGATACCCTTTCTTCACTCTTATTTAACCTGCCCAGTCATACCAGATTATTCTGCTCCTTAAACCCACAGTGCAGTGTCTCCCCTGTAACTGCCTTTACATTGTTTGCTCAGTCAGGAATGTCTTTTCTCACTAACATGCTCCTTCTATCCAAAACCCATTTTAAGTCTAAGCCAAATGAATTGCTCCCCCATCTGTTATGATAGCACTTCCCACATTCTATATTCATCTATCTCTTGCTAGAATGAGCTACTTGTGGGCAGGAACTATGTAAAGTAACATGCCCAGATTTATAATGCACAAGTATTCAGACTTACCTGTGAGCTAACATAACGAAGTTGGTTAACTTGTGTGTGGTCTGGAGACCCATATTCTAGTTTGGCCACCAGCCCTAAGTCACCCACATTCTTTTAGAACTTGGTTGGAAGTCAGTGTAGTATATTAAGCTCATGGGCCTTGGAGTCAGAAAGATCCTGGTTTGAATACACAGTCTGTCATTTACTAGCTTTGTGAATCTGAGCAATTTATGCTCATCTGTAATATGGTGAATACCTCCAACCTTTCAGGTTTGTTATGAGGATATGGTAAAAAGATACATAAAGGCATTTTAGCAGGGTGCCCACGACAGAGTAAGCAATCAATAAATGGTGCCATTTATTTCACCTGTAAAGCATTAAAATAGAAGTTAGCAAGTCATTATAGAAATGGTAGGCTTGGAGCAAATACTACATTAAAAAGGATGAAAACAAATGACTAGAGAGTAAGGAACTTGAATATCATCAATCCGAGAAATACAAATCTGATTAGGAATGTAATTGGGATAACCTGGAATTCTGATAAGGCAGTGACCTAAAGAAAGTAACATTTAAGGAAACTAACTCTAAGTGCAATTGAGTATAAAATGTCTGGGTTAAGAGGAGATTCGTAATTCACACATGACATGAAAAGATCTAAAGTGTGGTAACAAGGATGAAGGAAGGGACACCTGGGTGGCTCAGTTGGTTAAGTGTCTGCCTTTGGCTCAGGTCATGATCCCAAGGTCCTGGGATCAAGTCCCACATCGGGCTCCCTGCTCATCAGGGAGCCTGCTTCTCCTGCCTGACGCTCCCCCCTGCTTGTGCTCTCATTCTGACAAATAAATAAATAAAAAATATTAAAAAAAAAAGGATGAAGGAATTGTGAAGGAAGAAAGAAACAGGCATAACTATTGGGGATAAATACCATTGTCATTGTAAGACTGGAAACTTGAAGAAGGAGCTTACTGTTAAAAAATTAAATTCAGGGTGATTATTTTTGAACTCCTTAGTTATAGGTTAGTGTTATGCTCAAGAACATACAACAAGTAAGTGACTAAAGCAAAATTTGAAACCAGGTGGTCAGACTCTAGAGCTTGTGTTAATCACTTTCAGTTACTACCTTTCAAAAGTAATGGAAACAAGTTTCCAGACAATGTTAACCAGAGAAAATCAGAAAAGGCTTTAAGTCAACAGCTTGTATTTCTAGTGCATTATGGACCTAACTTCTATGGCCTCATTCCTCTTCTTTCTCAGTAGGAGAAGCTTTGGCAGAGTTTGTAACCTGGGATCCATGGATTTGCTTTCAAGATCCACTGATACGTGATTCTTACTTATGCGTGATTCATGTTTGTGTTAGTATCTATTTCTCTGGGGAGATAGGCTATGTTGTCTTTCATCAGATTCACAAATGGATTCTTGACCGAAAAAGCTCCACCCAAGAAAGAACAGCAACTATAATTTATTAAGCTCTTACATTTATTGGGTGATGCTCTCAGTTCTTTACATGGCATCACCACACTGACTTTTCATGACAACTCTATGGAGGAATTATTAATCCCCATTTACAGACAAGAAAACTGAGGCACAGAAATGGGCTTACAGTCTCAGTTAGCAAGTGGAAGAGTGTAAATGCAGACAGTTGAGTGCCTTAGCTTATACTTCGAACCAATTATTATGAGGGGGCAGCATTTTGGTATCCTCAGAACTATTATCTTTAGCCATAAGATAAAAACATTTCTTAATGTTCTAAGCAAGGGCATTTAGGTATAGCACAATCCCCAGTATTTTGTACTTTCTCTCTTTTACACATTTACCACCACCTACCAAACTACTCCTTTTGGCATGCAGCATTTCTATGCCAGAGGGCCTGATTGAATCTCACTCTAAATATTTTCTGCTAAGGCCTATGAAAGTCCTCACGTTAACAGTATCTTCAGTAAGTGGGTTGTAGTTCTAGTGCATAAACATCCTTTCAATCATTAGTGTATTAAAGCTCAAATGAGTAAGAGACTAATAATAATTAAAATGAACCTCGTGACAAATCATAGGAAGAAAAGTCCTGTATTTCCGATAAAAAATGGGAAAGGTGCTGAAGGCAGCTTTCCGTCAGAGTGCTTCTTGATTTATGGACATTTGCTTTATTCAATTTGTTAAGAGCTGATGAAATTATTGCCCCCAACACTTGCCAAATAGTCACAGAAACACATTACCTATTTGAAAGAACAATTCCACCAGTTAGTTATAAAATTTAATTGTAAAGAGCAAGCAGTGGTTATCGGTCAAACCAATCCACATTAATAGCTTTGAAGTGTGCAGACACTAGTTCCTAAATAAAGGTGACAAATACCAATCAGATTCTTATAACACTGTTCAGGATCTAAATAAGTGTGATTCTGGACATAATTCAATCTACAAGGCTAACTGAATGATAGTGCAATCATCAATAATTAAACCACACGCATAATTTTCCAAATCACTTTTAAACAGAATAAATTCTAGCTTTTTTAAGGTCTGAAGCTACAAAAAACTCAAAGCAATCTATTTTTCTACCTGAGATCAAAACAAGTTTCTTTTTTCCTATCTAAACATAATTCTTGACATTGAGGTAAATCTGAATTCACGTAATATACTTTGTCAAACTTTTCCAAAAAATTTTAAGCCCTGCTTTAGAGAGAAATTCTCATGTTACACATACATATTTACATATTTTTTTCTTCAAAGACTAATGACAAATTTAAGAGGTTAATAGGCAGGTAATGGGACCATGATACTACTACTAATGTGAAAATAAAAAGTCATTCATTTATACAAAGTGTTCCTGTATGGTGCAGTATGAAATGGGATCGCTGTCTATGTACATACACAAATCACCAAATGTTCAGAAACTAAGCCCACTTTGAGAAAAGTCATTCTATTTTTTTGGAGCTGAGGTTGCCAAGTTGTGATGTTTAACAAAAATATTGTGTATAAACCAAGTATTAGCCTAAATTGGCAATAACTGCAACTTAAATGAAAAAAATTAAATCCAGCTAGATCTTTACTGTGGCTATGCAACTCTTGCTTTGTGGCCTGCCAGTTTTACTGACCTAACAACCTCCTCTCTCGTCTCTGCTCCTTGTGCTCCCCCTGCCTCCAGCTTCCTTCTTCATGGTTGTCTTTGGCAATGCTTCCAAATCTTGAAAGCAAAAGAACCTGCTAAAGTAAATGAGGAGGATGAAAAATAACACTATATATGATGTACAAAAACCAATCTAAGACTATGGACTGAGAAAAAAAAAAAGGCACTAGAAGGAAGGCTGAGCAGTAGTGTACCCTCAAGGGAAAGAGAACGTAAAAGAATAGGGGGTCCGTACTCCTGGCCTTCTTGCACATTATCTCCTGATTGAGAAGAGCGTGGAACCAAAACGTCAAACTCTAAAAAGATAATGACTTTGAAGGAGGAGCTAGAGAAGTGAATACACGGTAAAGAAGTACAACAGCAGCTTTAGCTGTCAATGAGT